CAGGAATGGGCTGTGCCGGGGTGGGAGGCGGGGGTGAGCGGGCAGCCGGGGCCCCTGCGGGTGGTCCTACCTGGCAGTCCATTATGGCCTCCTCCTCCTTCAGCTCAATCTTCTTCTCCCCTGTCTCAGCACACAGGAGAGCCTCAAGGACCGGCCCTTCCGGGAGGCTGCCCTCCTTCTTCAGGGGCGCCTCGCAGTCTGGAGACAAGGCCACGGGGAGGTCAAGTGGGGAAGTTGTCCCTGGAAGACCCGTCAAACTGCCCAGGTGGGAGAACCACGCTCTCTGCAGGACGGAAGAGGCTCTCCCATTCTCAACCAGCCACAGACTCAAAGACTGAACCACTCGTACTGGGAAGGATGCTCAGACCCCAGGGAAGACACAGCCAGACTCTTGGATCCTCTCGGACACACTTGGGAAGAGACATGCCAAACCCTTGCATATCCCCAGAGACAGGGAGGACACTCCAGCCAGACCCTCACTTACACTTGGACGAATATGGAGAGATTCATACAGTCAAACAGGATACACATGGACATACACAAGGGAGACACAGACAGATCATCTGAGACAGCCAGACAAAGGAAGAGATACATCCAGACACTCAAATGCACCCAGACACATGGAAGAGACACATGCAGACCCTCGGAGACACCCAGAGACACCCAGAAAGAGACTGTTAGACCATCAGACATAGCCAGACCCACAAGAGGAAAACACAGCCAGACCCTACCACACACCTGGACAAACATGGGGAAGATACAGACACACCTAGAGAGAATCACTCAGATGGATAAACATGGACATACACAGAGAAGAGACAGACAGTCCCTCTGAGGTAATCAGACACACCCAGGAAGACACAGCCAGGCAGACACTCTAAGACACCCTGATTCACACAGACCCATGGATATACCTGGACAGGAAAGAGAGACAGCCAGTCACTCTGATAGTACTGGACACATTCAAGAAGTGACGAGGCCAGATATTCTGGTGGACGAACACACATGGGCAGAAAAACAGCTAATACACCAGACACTAAGGGAAGAGTGCCTCCCAGATATGCCAAGCGTCTGGGCGCTCAGGGGAAGAGGCAGGAGGACACCCTGATATACCCAGACACATTCAGGAGCAGCCGGATCCCCCAATGGACTAGGCACACAGGAGGAAATCAACCTTTTAATATAGTTAGAAACACTTGGAAAGGGACCCAGACACTTAGATAAACTCCACTACAAATGACAAGAGTCACAATCAGACACTCTGACACATCCGGACACACTGAGGAACCTACAGGCAGAAACAGAGCCAGATACTCCCATACACCCCAGCTCACAAGGGGAGAGATGCAAAGACTGGATATACCTAGACACGCACAACAGATTCCACTCTGCTCTCAAATACACATGGACTCACATAGGAGAAGGGACTGTCCAAAGCTCAGTGGCTCAGAGAAAACTAAAGAATCTCCGGACTTCACCCAGGTACACACAGGGAAACCCAGAGCCAGCCGCTCAGACCCTCGCTAGGAGAGAGATAAGGTGAATGCTCAGACACACACTGGAATCACCACACACTTAGCGTGGGCCGGACGCTCACGTGGGAGCCACCCCAGGCCCAGGCAGCTCCACCCACCGATCTTGTACTCGCAGGGCCGGAGTCTGGGGTCCTCCAAGATGTTGAGTCTCCGTTTCTTCCTCCAACAGCGGGCGGGGTACGTGTAGATCTGTCCTGGGGCCAAACCTGGAGTGAGAAGGGCTGTAAGAAGGGGGCTGCCACGCTGCCGCCCTGCTCCGCCCCCGCCCTCCCAGCGGGTACCCGGCCCGCGGTGGGTCTTCTCCATCCAGATGTAGCAGTTGTTCTGGGCCACGCCGGTCTGCGAGTCGAGGAAGGGCAGGCGCAGGCTGCGCTCAGCGCACAGGCGCGCGTTGTAGCTGCGGCAGTGCTCGATGGCCTCGCGGTAGAAGTCTTCGCCTAGGCTGCGAGGGGCGGTGAGCGGGCGGCAGGCTGTCAGCGAGGGCAGGCGCGCCAGGTCGCCTAGCACCCCTCCCCCAGCCCGCCGGTCGGGAATGGGTGGGCCGACTCCTCACCTCTCCCCTCTGGTCGCTCCTGGACCCAAGAGCCCCCCACCTGGGGCTCAAAGAGGCCAACGAGTAGATACACATAATATAGAAACAAACAAAAATACACCAAGACCCATCCATACACCCACATATCCCAACACACAACATAAACAAATCACACATAGTCACACAGGATTCACACACAAAGAGAGACATATCCCAAGACTCACAAAGGAGAAACAGACATGTCTCACATATGTGCACACACATATCTACTGAGAAACATAACTATCCCAAGTCACACAGTGTAGAAACAGATAGATCACACATATATATATCCATGCACAAATACATAACACATACCCAAATATACACAACATAAACAAATCACCCACACGAAGACACACAACGGGCAAATAGATCACACACACCACACCACAAATACACACACCCATGCATCCAAACACATACAGATATACAAATGTTAAAAGAAATGTTAAATTACCCACATATGCACTTATACACATATCCAAAGCCACAACACAAGCCACACACACACACACACACACACACACACACACACTATCCAGACATGCTATACAAAGAAATCACAGATTCACACAGGATACACACACATTCACAAAGATACACAACATAGAAACCAACATCTAAAATATCACATATTCAAACACACAAAGACACAAACATATACAACATAGAAACAGACAAATCCACCGCCATTCACTCAAAAATGTACACATAGATACATGCATACCTACATATCCAAAGACACAGAACACAAATGATGCAGTTTCAAAGGACATGTACACACACTCAAAGACCCAAATATCCAATGATACCTAGTATAGAATAAAAGAAATGAAACACATTTCCACACATATCCAAAAAAAAAAAAAAAAAACCCAACAAACAAGTGACACATACTCCACATCCCAAAACAAAGGTAGTGTGGGCTTCGCTCAAGTTTACCAAGGTTCCCGCACCCCTGGACCATTTCATCCTCTCCTCA